ATTTAAAATTTGACAGATGCTGCTTGTCGCTTGCTGTCGTCAAAGTGTTCCGAGCTTTAGTGGAAAATAAAAACAAACTAAAGAGCGCCAAAACGTGTCCAATGAAGTACAGCTTAATGATCATTAAAGCAGGTGAGGCAGGGGATCGCGTCAATGCGCGGTCTTAAAACAATAACAGTAATATTAGTAACAATGAAATGGAAATGAAAATGAAACTGAAACTAAAAACAATAAAACCAAACCTTAAACGTTAAGTGCCGCAAAGCTGCTGAGAGTCGCTGTTTGGGTTTTGGATTTTTGGTTTAGCAATGAAACCGAAAGTGATCGCTTACGATCCACAAAACCAGCAGCAACAACAGGAGAAGGCAGCAACAGTAACATTGGCAGCAATGAAAATAAAACAGTTCAACAGCTGAAGTCTTCTTCAGTTTGCGCTGCTGCAAGTTTGCCGCTCTTGGCACTCCACTCGCCGTCGCTACCACCCACCGTAGTGCTGGCGCTACGCATGCGCAGATTATTTGCTCTGCGCCTTCGTTGCCGCTTGCTAGCCGAAAGAGTTTTTGCGAAGCGTACCTATATAAGCGACACATCCCGCAGCAGAGTTATGCAGAAAGACGCGCCGCGCCGTACAGTGTATTTGTAGTAAGCCCTCTGTAGAAGCAAAGCGCCGAGCATCCTTAAGACTCCTCCTTCTCGAAGAAACTTTTTTTGATTTTCGAAGACCTCAAACAAAATGAAGCGTTATTGTGCGGTACGTGAAATAAAAAGTTAATTTTTTTATTGAAGTGATTTTTTTAAAGTTCTCTATGAATTTGGAAAGACTTATTTTGGGGGAAAAATAGAACCAGCAATACGTAATGTTTAAGGAATATAATAAATGTAGTGTGGAACATACTCTGAAAAAATATTAAAACAACCAAAAATAATAATAATAATAAAATTAAAAAATTAAAAACAATTAAAAATATATATATATACATATATTTATGTTAATAATTTTTTAAAAATTCTGCTGGGATTAAAAAGCAAACAACAAATAAGTGAAACAAAAAAAAATAAAGTTTTTTACTATTATATAATATTTTCAAAAAAAAAAAGAAATGCATACAAAAGCCAAAAAATTATGGAAATCTAATCAGAACAGTAATAATAATTTTGTCAAAGATAAATGCTCCTAAAAATGGGATCAGAAATAAAAAACAACATTTGAAAACTAAATTTTTTAATTTTAATTTTTTTTTCCAAAAAACAAAATTGTAAAAAGCTCAAGAACTTTTTGAAATAAATTTTCAATTCAAATAAATGTTTATATTAAGTCATTAAAGGAAACTATAAATTTAAGAGTGAGAGCTGAAATGGCCTAACCCATACAAAAAATGTACAAAAAAAAGTAAACGGCCACTTCTGCTCTCACGGCCTCATTTAAACTCTTAAACAACAGTATTCTAAAATTTCGGAAAATTTGTGAATAATAAAATTTTCTATGAAGTTTGTGCAAAACAGGGTAAATGCATTTTTATCTTTTGTATGGGGATCAACTCGGTCTAATTTACATACATAAGCTCAAATCGAGAAAATATTAGCTTCATAAAAATTTAAAAAAGTTCCGCTAGCTGAACAATTATAACAGAATTGAAAAATTACAAAAAAAAATAAATTTTACCAGAAAAATAAAGGCTGCGTTTCTTTATACATTCCGGATAATCCCATTTCACAGGCGGAATAAACAGAATGCGTTTGAAATATACGTTAACATATCATTAGGAATGTTCTAAAGAATAAGTAAACAAAAAAGTTTATTCCAAACGTTCAGAATGAATAAAGAAATGCAGCCAAAATGTTTGACAGCGCAAGAAATTACTTTCGTAAATACTTTACTTAATAAACCGTGCACAGCAAACATATTTCCATGAAAAACTATAAATTTAACTACCGGTTTCACCAAAAATCAAAGTAAAAAATTATATTTTTTTATTTCTGACAGTTTTCATAAGAAAATCGAAAAAAGTAAGAAAAAAAAACAAATTTTGCCAGAAAAATAAAATGTTTGACAGCGCAAGAAATTGTTTTCGTAAGCACTTTACTTAATAAACCGTGCACAGGAAAAATATTTTCATGAAAAAACCACATTTTTGAACATATACATATTTATTAAAGTAAAAACATGTTTTTTTTTTACTTTCTGTCAGTTTTCAAATGAAAATCGAATAATAAAATAATTTTTCACTGCTTTCGTAATAAGTGTAAACAGCTCAAAGCTCCTTTGGATTTTAAAGTTTTTTACACATTTTTGATCCATAAACATAAAAATAAGAAAAAAGTTTAGTAAAATTTTATGACGAAATTTTTTTAAGGAAGTTTAGTTTAGTTCATTTTATACAATTTCCAAACTTGCTAAGGTAAAACAAAAGTTAAAACGTAAGTGTTAAGTGAAGATACTCGCATAGAATTTTTTAGAAATCTTCTTCAACTTTTTTTATTCTTTGCTGTTTTTTGGATTAATAATAATCACAGTATGAAATTCTTAAGTTTGAAAATTCAAACAATAAAAAATTTTCCAGTTCTTAAAATTTTTCTATTAAAAGGTGAAAATCTAAACTAAAGTTTGGTCACTTTATAAGTCTAAAAATAACATCTTGATATATATTTGTATTTCTCAATAAAACGTTTATTAAAAAAACGAATTGTAAATAAAATATTTTTTAGATATCTCGAAATTATTTTATTATAATTATAAAAAATTTATATTACTTACTAATTTAAATTTTTTGTGTTCATAAAAATGTACGTCTGAAAAAGAAATTAAAATAAAGTATATTAAAAATTAATTAAAACAAAAAATAAAAAAACAAAATAATAAAATAACTATAAAAATCATATTAAGACCTCGGACCAAAAATTAGCCATCGACATCAAAAAACAATAAAACCAATTTCATTAAACACTTAAGAATAAGAAAATGTTAATATTTTTATAGATTGTATAATTTTTTTTATAACGTCTATCTGTATTTTGAATAAAACCACGTGCGCAATTTTTGATCACCCACTTTCTTCCCTCCTCCAGGTTTTACTTGTTTTGATTGCAGCTGGCTTGGCGGCAGCACGCCCTGAACCACCACGTGACAGTTATAGCGCGCCACCACCTAGCAGCTATCAGCCATCGGGGCCCAGCGGCAATTATGGACCACCGCCGGTGTATGGCCCACCACAGCAGCCGCCTGTGGTGCATAAGCATGTCTATGTGCATGTGCCACCACCAGAGCGTGAGTATCAGGCACCAAGGTGAGTCAGTGCATTTAAGAAAAATCTAACAGAAAGGATTTAATATGAGAAAATCAGGATTTTTTTTTAAATAATCTGGCACACATCTTGAATACAGTAGCAGTCAAATGTTTAATGCTGAATGTATAGGTTTAGTGAAGAAAATATTCGCTCCTTGAGCAGATTGAACTACTTACATATACATATCTATAAGTATGTTTGCTGAACAGCGTAATTAAAATATTAATTTTTTACACGAGTGTTTATGTACCGAGTATATGAACGTAAATATGTAAACATTTTTGAGCACATGTAAGCTTGCATACATTTATCCGCTTTGTCCGTAAAAATTGTTAAAATTGGAAAATGATATTGCCAATTTCCTTTAAAGCCATAATAAACTAAGTCAATGGGGCCAAATTCGCGTACACAAATCATAGAAATGCCGGACAAGGCAACAATAAAAAAATTATTATTGATTTAAAACACCGGCTGCGAGTGTAAAAGATAAAGGGGCAATTGAATATTTTTAGCACCATTTATGTACTCAGTTAACAACAAAATTAAATTGAATGGGTAATTTGTAAATTTTACTTGTCGGCTTATGTTAACTATGGCAAATGTACATATACATGTGTGTACGGGTAATTGGGTGGTTTTATACTTAACATAAGTGATTAGTTTTCAACAAGCTTAGAGCTCGCAATTTTTCACTTTGTTATACCAAAATGATCCATTTCTTGAAATCTTTTTAAAATTACTAATTTTTTCATTGTCACTCAAAAAAAAAACATAATTGTTTTTTTTTTTTAAATAGCTATGCAAAGTTTTCAAATAGAATGCTCATATTAGAGGCAATGGACGTTGGCATCATATACAACATAACTGTGAGGTTTCAGGAGTGTGCCACCAAATTAAAAAAAAAATTCCAGCATGCAGAATATCTCGCATAGCTATTTTGTATTTTTTGATATTTTACGGTTTTTTCTATTTCAATAATTTAAGATACTACAAAAAGTTAAAATTAAACGGTGGAAAGTTTTTTCTTGCCTAAACCAACGAATCTAGTGTAAAAAAATTACACAAAAAAAAAATTTACATTGAGTAGAAGATAACTATGATTTGAGAAACTAAAATTCAGAATTTTTATTTATTTCAATTTTTATTGGCACACTCGAAACTCAGTTTAAAATTGTTATATACTTGAAGAAATTAATGTATATGTGCATAAGGAATACTGTGTAAAAATCTTCCACGCCAATATTTAATCACCTTTAAATTATATGCAGAAACACATTTTTGTCGAAATCTTAGAACTCGTGAAATTTGCTTATATCTGCTTAGATATATTCATGCTTAAGCAAGGATCAGTAGACACCATCAAAGTATGTGAAAAGGTGTAATACGTAGTACGTCAATTACAGCTTTTTGAAGCCCTTCTAGCGAAGCATTTAGGATCATTGAGCCCAAGAATATGAAAGTATGCACGAGAAGTATGTAAGGGCTGACATTTTGCTTACAATAATTAGGAACATGAAACAAATTTCTCACAGTTAAAAAATAATCCACGGAGTAGTATTTAGTATGCGGCTTCAGTATACTCGTAAATAGTAATACATGGAGTTGTTAGCTAAATTCCAGTGCGCCAGTAAAAACCAAAGCGGCTTCTCTCTATTCTCGCGAAAACAGATAAAGATATATACCAAGAAAAGTCAGCTAAAAAATAATGTAACTATAAACAAATCACGTGTTGAGAGAAATATAATTAGCTGACTTTTTTCTGAGTTTAAGAACCCTTACATTGGCTGTTTACTGTCGAACAGCAAAAGCAGTCTCAAAGAAAAAATAGTAATAATTCTCAAAAACCAATTTTTTAGCCGGTTGAAACTTGCACTTCATTTGACTAAAATTGGGCTACAAAACTGCATACTCTAAAATTTTGTAGAAAAAGTGGAAAATTTTGATGCAATTTTTTTGAATTTTTGGTGACTTTATATAAATAGTGAAACTTTAATTCATATGGTTTATATTATAGAATGAACTATATTTTCATAAATACTTAATGCAAAAAATTGTGCATGAAAATAATTGTGAATATTATATTAGAACAAGGTGTACACTTTCATTTGTCGCCTAGCTATATGTGGCTAATTTGTTTTGAGGTCATGACTTTAGGTGGATTTTAGACGCTAGGCCCCCCCGTCTCACCTCTTTATGGCTGCGATCCACATTAAGATAATTTCGAACCTACAAGCAAATGAGGCCACCCCTCTACCGCAGTCTTTCACCAGTTTCGATCTGACGGCATATTAGAATAGTGTCGGAATCGCCGTCTGTCTGTTTGCGAAAATATTTAATTGAGTTCCTGTGTGGAAGGTCAAAGGCACATCGCTACCTCGGAAAGTCTGGTAGAGTGCAGGGTACAGTGCACTTTGACAGCGAACAACAACTGAGGTTTCGTCATTGGCTACCAGGAGCAGACAGACTCGGCAAGGATGGCGATCTTTTAGCAGATGAACGAATAGAAAGTGTGTGGATCAAACTACAAGCGGTAAAAGGGGTCTACGACCTATAAACAATTTAGTAGGCACGAAAGGCTTGAACTAGAACGCAAATGTATGGTTTCTAGAAATAACACTAACTAACTGGCTTGCAAAAGCAAGCTCACAAAAGCTTCTTTTATCTCTTAAGAGGGAATATATTAGACTTCTAGTCGTTACGTACTTTACCTTCTCGATCTTATTGGTTACTGCAAAGTCACGACCGACCCAACCTAACCTCCTTTAGATTTGGGTATTCGATGCAATTTAATGGCTTCGGTGCACAAAATCTCAGTTGGAGGTTTATTCAGAGCGGATTTACGTCTGAAAAGAGTTTCTTTTTAGTACCAGGAAACTCTCAACAAAGACTACATATTCATTGGCTGAGCTGGCCTGGATGTCATTTATCTCTGTATGCTGTCAGGCATTCTTTGGACTCCGCTGAATTGTGACTAGCCACTAAACCACCACTCCATACAAAATATGAAACGAACAATTAGTCGCGTACCTCAATTGTACAACGTTATAGCTTCAGCCTCCCCTCCCTCGTTTAGAATCCTCTTGACCTTCTAAAAATCCCTCCAAGTCTTTCCATGCGGCACAAGCATTGCATGCAGTTGGAATGCGACTTACTTGCATACTTGCCGCTAAATTTCCCTCCGCTTTGCACGCGGCTAAATCTAACGGAAAAACCATTATAAGCACTGTCATGTTGCATGCAACTTAACGCTTCGCAGCAGTAAGAAATGTCGGCGGCACTTTGCTAGTAGCAAATGAAAATGCATGAAATACATATTTATAAGTTGCAATTTATGTTGCCACCGCTACAATTTGTTGCATGTGTGCGCGCATATAAATTGTAAATTTTTTCAACTGCAATTTGTTGCTTTGCTTTTTTTCTTTCGTTTTTTTTTTCGACAACTGTGCGGCAGTTAAATAATAATAAAAACGTGGAAATTTCGAAATGCATGTAAATAAATAGGTTCATTCCTTATCTTTTTGGACTAAAATCTGAAAAGTGTCAAAATGCCAGAGCGTAAGCAAAATGCGCTCACTAAAAGAGAATAACAGGAAAAGTAAAGGAACGCGAAAAACCAAATTTTTAGTCCAAAGAATGGCAACAACAAAACTAACGTCAAATAAGAACAGAAATGTATGTACAAAACACATTCACACAAGCACAAGCACAATAAACACTTGCTATATCAATTATTTTTTGCCTTCTTCCAACTTCAATTCATTTCTTTTACTTTTTAGATTATTCTCACTTTTAGCGTATTCTTTAATTTCCGTTAATTTAAATTCAGTTGAGTTTGACACTTTTCAGGATTTTGCCAGAAAAAATTCTTCTGACTAAATCTGACTACTTCGGACTGATGAGAGTCACTCTCACTGACTGTTGCTCTCTCATTTTTGCTGTCATTTCCGAGTTAAGGAACGCTTTTTGGACTAAATCTGACTACTTCGGACTTTTTCTGACTATTTCTGGGAGATAAGGAACGCTCCTAATGTTTGTTCAGCAAAATTTGTGAGCTTCCCAGCCAAGATGAGTGCAAAGTAGATACATTCATACACACACATAATTACATTATTAATATGCAAGAAAACAAGCAAACCTCGGTTTTTGTACATTTTATAGTCGGATTAATGTCTGTATGAAACGTGTGTTCAAAACATACATACATACATATGTACATTCATTTGTAATTTTTAATTATACATACATATGTTTTGTTGACACTCTGTCTTCAACAAATTTCGATTTCAACACATTTTGCGACGTTTCCAAAGTGTTGCATATTAAAATTTTATGCACATATTCATTTTCATATATGTTAGCACTTTTTCGGTATGAAAATTTTGATGCAGATCGGTTCGTGTAAAGGAGCTCTGTTGAACTGCATCAAATTTGTCATATCGCAAAAATGCTGACTTATTCACTTAGAGAAAACTCCAGAGTTGATTTTTTTTTAACTCAAGAAAAAAGAAAAAAGGCTTTTGCCCTATTTAAAATTAAATACTTATATAAGGATTTTAGTATCTTACCTTTTCACGAAATAAAGATTCCGATGCACCTCGGCGCTTTGAGCGACCTCTAAATAATTTTTAATTTCAAAATAGAAAAGTAGGCGTATACTTTTTTCGGCATAGAACAATAATAGGGGGGCGAGAGCATACAAATTCCGACTTTACTTTTTTCATGCATTTTTGTATCACCCTAATGTATGCACTTAATTAAGAAATGACTAATAAAAAAATACCAATAATCAGTCCGATTGTTGTTTACTAGTTTTCCTGTTTTTTTAAATACTGCAAAGCTAGTGATACTTTAGTTAAACGCTGCTTCCTTATGACCTAAAAACAAAAATAAATGAACAAAAAAAACGAATCTCGGCAAAACAATTACAGCAAGCTTTAAAACGAATTAAAATGAATTCACCGCACCAATGCGGAAACTGTGCATGCTCATTGAACTTAGCA